TGTGTCTGTGCTTTCAACTGGAAACACATTATTATTATTATTATTATTATTACACAGGATTTATATAGCACCAACAGTTTGCTCAGCGCTTTACAATATAATGGGAGACAATACAGCAACAATACAGTTCAATACAAGAGGGGGCCCTGCTCCTTGGAGCTTACAATCTAGGAGATTGCTTTGTATGGCTCTGCTATGCAGAGCCATACAAAGCAGTGTGCTGAAGCTGACAGTGGAGAGATCTGTATTGTTTACATACAGTTCTCTCCACACGTCAGTAATATTCGGCGATCACCAGGTGCCGGCACGTAATCACCAGCCGATTGACAGCTGAGGCCCCAAATAGTGGCATGGGTAGGGTGCGCCCCCTACCCGAATTGCAAAATCACGTATTTATAAGTGATTTTGCACATCCGTGCCACCCTGTAGCAGTATTTCTGCTATAGGGTGGCGGGAAATGGATTACTGGCCCCACATTTGTTTTCAGGTATTCAGATAACAGAAACAGCTTCATTCCTCAGTAACACAAAAAAAAAAACAAGAGTCTATACAGCAGGTTTGTGCAGCCCAAACAACTCACAGCCTTTGGGGTGAATTCTCCAAGTGCTCTTGTACAGCAAACTGTTAACCATCCACATAGTTTTTAGTCCTTAGATGGATGGCTGTGGGCTGGATGAAGGAGACATTTCCAAGTAAAAAACAAACAATTCAGTTTGAATCCAAGCAACACATGAGCAAGTGAAAGCATATAGAAACAATGCTGACAGATTTGAGCCATTGCTGCATCTGGTTGGATCCCAACCTAGAATGTGCCCCTGCCCCTTATGTTATGCTACCCATACATATTGTTTTAACACAATTATGTTTTTGAAGAAGTTGACTGAAAACAGATAAAAATAGAGTCACCACGCTTATATTGTGCTACATGAAAATTGTATCCATGTAGGAACAACTTGAAGGGACTTTATACTAATGTACAAATTATTAAAAGTAAATGTAAAAGACACTCAGGCCCTGTTCACATATTACTTAACAGGAATGCGGGTTCTCGCTAGCAATTCAAATAGCATGATTCATACACAGAAATGTGTGTCGTGCATAGGCAACCTTTTCACTTGAATAGGATCCCATATGCCAATTGTTGCTCCAGAGAAGCTCAGAGACCAAGTTTTGGCCCTGAGCTAGGATCGATTTTGCACACGCATTTTGCCATAATTCTTGCACATTTTGTCGCTCAACAATCACAGCAAAATCATACCGCATATCGGGTGCCATTCAGGCTGAATGGCATCCTAACACGTGCCATACGTTTGGAAGCTTAAGCAGAAACTGCCTCAATTGCAAATTACCCATATGTTGTTTTTTTAATTGCAAAGAATTTATAGTTTATCAATAAAAAATTATGTTTTTATATGGAGAAATGTGTGATTAATGTCTGCACCAAGAAAGTCCCTTTGACATTAATACTGTATATTTTAGTAATGCAAAGAAGTCCTGCTCCCTTTCACAGCCCAAACTTAAAGTCCAGTAGTGGATTGTTACTATCAGCCTCTCAAAGATAGACTGACTATTTCCCTCACCAGCCTTACCTGGAGCCCATGACCTTCCTCCAAACCTACATTGTGGGCAACAACTATCTCCCATCCATCACCCACCACCTCACGAGGTTTCCCTAAAGTCCATTACCCCCATCCCAACCCACATTGTGTGCGACAAAAATCTTCCATCTACCACCACCACCTCACTAGGTTTCCTGGAGCCCATAACACACACCCCCGCCCTTGTTTTTTCATACATACCTTTGGAAAGTGGCATTACTGCTTTAACTCTGGACTTTCTAAGCACCCTCTCCTCAGACAAACTGTAAAATCATACACAGGTATTGCTTAAGCAAACTGTGGTTAATATCACTGTTGAGAACTCACCAAAGGCAGAATCGCTTTGGAGGATACATGTGGGCAGTGAATCACACTCGTATTTTTGCGTATGCCACTCTCCCATCAATTGAATGAGCAAGACATCACTTTCTCACCGACAACATACATTTTGAAACTTTTTTCGCAGCAAGAGATTGGCACCTCGCTGCCAAATCCAGCAAGGTAACAACACATAGAAAGCCTGGAATGCAGGCATTTTCTAGCAATCCTATCACTGGAGACCTTTTGCTTGAGAAAGGATCACAAGTGTCACATTAGTGTAAATGTCATCCAGTTACCATTAAGATCTACTTTATCAAATAAATAAGGATCTTTATGTTAGCCATGCGACTGCAATTTTCAGATTTCATTGGACTGAGCTAAAACTAACTAACTTAACTTTTTAAAAATAAGGATCCTTGGTGTGTTTGCTTTGTAAATTGATCCTAATTGTGTATTTTTCCCATTCCATATGAGATACTAATGAGGCTGTTTTCCAGCACCCACTCAGCTCACTCCCAAGAGAAGTGACCCAGTCTCAGCAATAATGACCTCTGGTAAATGCATTTGAGCACTAAATTGGCTTACTTTAGCGTAAATCTACTCTAATGAATGGGGAAAACTGAAAGATTTAAGAACTGGGTGGGCAGAAGAAATGTTTCCCAGAAGTCATCATTTTATTATTCACACCTTTTCTTGTTTTGTTAAAACATTTTTTTGATGATGAACACAGACTATAATGTTGTCTGTAAATTATCACATCCGTTTATAATAAAAAGAAAGAAAGGAGTGTTGTTATTTCATTGTAAAATAAGAAATAATAAGAAAAATGAAATTTCAGCTGTAGCTGAAATGAGATGCAAAGCTATTTTTCCACTGTTTGTTCCATTTTGAAAGAGTCAAATTATTTTTATATGCCACATGCTAAAAATGGCTTCAGAAGTGAAAAAAAATATTATGCTAATGCAATTGCATATTTATTGTTAAAACAGTGAAACTAATTTAGTATTTCAATACAGCTGTGGTGTATTACACTGTAGACTAAGCTACTGTGTAAGATATTCAAGTAAAATAATAGCACGAACATCAGTCTTTTAAATATAAAATAGGTAATAATTTTGGCAACAGATTAAACCTTCATGGAACTGTAAGCATAGAGGTTCTCAGCAGTTCTCAGATTTAGTATTTGGTTGCTTAGTAACAAACATTTTCTACAGTGCATAGCAGTGAAACGCTTCAACCTCCAAAGTGCTGTAGAACAAAAATGTAATCTAAAAAAGGAATAAGTGATATAATTCACTTATGTTTTAATTTTCTAAAGTGAACCTGTTTGCGTGCTTGAAGGATTGCTTGATTATTATATGAAAAAAAATAACTTTGAAAAAATAAATACTACAGGTCCAGATTCTAAACTATAGGACTGTGTTAGTAGATAGAGAGAGGTGGCAAACTACATGCATCCAATGACAGCATACACACATCACATTTTTGTAGCATGTGCTTTTTTATAATTTTATAAGCACTTTCACATCAACCAAGGGTGGTATGGCTAGAGGACAGGGAGTTTCGCCATCTGGGATAATACTAATAACATATGTTGGCTTTGGGACCCTGAGTGTTGATACTTCACCATTTAGCCCTTAAAGTGCAGGAAAAAATAAACATAAAACTCACTTATATGGCTGCAGCATTAATCTGATGCTGTAGCTGTCCCGCGCCAGATCTAAGCCTGAGAACTGAGCAATTTCATGACAGCCGATCACTCAGTTCTCAGTTTTCACTGAGCAGAGAGCATTGAATGTCAGTCACTGATTTCTACTCTGCCTCTCCAGCACTCACTGGAGGGCTGGGCTGGGCTGTGGAGGAGGTAGGGGTGGCTGGCTCAGACTCTCAGCAGTGTGCTTAGAGGCTTAGTAAGCTATGGTTAGGATACATCCAGAGACTGGAGCAGCTCTGCGCTTCCCTTTGCCTTTTAAGATCACTTTGAAGTACAAACAAGGAAGCACAAAATACCTCTGTAGTGTATTAAAGTGATTTAACAAACAAATGCTGCACATAAAATTGTAGGAAAATAAATTTTAGACATACAAAGTATTACAGACATACTGTACATACAAGATGCGTGAACACACTACCTTACCTTCCTAGCGAATGAGCATGGACAATGTATGTGACAGGGATACAATAAACAGTTACTTAACTTGGTTCTTCCTGGTGATGGAGTCTTTTGCCTTTTATCAGGATCTCTTCCAGACTACTCTTGGCATCTCAGAGTCCTTCAGAACTACTCCTTTGTGTTCAGCACATGTTGTGTTCATGTCCTTTGTTCCCTTCCCCTACTTCCTGCCAACATCAAGTGTTGTTGCATGAGCTCCAAGAACCCATCAAAAAAGTTCATTAGCACATGAATAGCTTCTAAAAACAATACATAGTAACCAAAATGCATCATTCCATATACATTTTGACAGTGGGCTTTAGCACTTCTGTGATCCACAAGAAAAGTATGACCAAACAAGTGATGGCCATACTTCTCTTTTAATCAAAGTGGGCCTGCAGTCAGTAACAAATATACACTATATAACTACCTGTTCTTTATTTAGACCTCTGATCATAGCACCTGGCATAGTGAAGTCTTTCAGCACCACTTCTTTTGCAACTCATGCTTGAATGCTAAAAGCTACCATAGAAGCTGATGCTGGAAGATGTGGAAAAGTATGGCCCTTAGGAACAACCACCTATTACACTGATGTGGCACCATAGCACACATTCTTTACCCATAGATATCTGTTTCTACCAGGAAATGGCTAGTTGGCTGTGCTTACCCCCAAGGCCAAAGGCTCCCTGTTCTTCCTTAATGCAAACCGAGCTGTTAGGCAACAGTGACAGAGATTGGGACAAACTATCACACACACAGGGAAGCTTGTGCAGTTACAGCAATTGTTTTTTTTTTTTCCATTTTTAAGGAGATTTAAAGCATATGAATGAAAGATACCATATTTTTTGCTCCATAAGACGCACCTGACCATAAGACGCACCTAGGTTTTAGAGGAGGAAAACAAGAAAAAACATATTCTCAACCAATGGACTGCAGACATAGTACAGGAGATGGCCAGAGACTGAGGACATAGTAAAGGATGACCAGAGACTGTGAACATAGTACAGGAGATGACCAGAGACTGCAGACATAGTACAGGAGATGACCAGAGACTGTGGACATAGTACAGGAGATGACCAGAGACTGCAGACACAGTACAGGAGATGACCAGAGACTGCAGACATAGTACAAGAGATGACCAGAGACTGCAGATATGGTACAGGGGATAACCGGAGACTGCAGACATAGTACAGGAGATGACCAGAGACTGCGGACATAGTACAGGAGATGACCAGAGACTGCAGACACAGTACAGGAGATGACCAGAGACTGCAGACACAGTACAAGAGATGACCAGAGACTGCGGATACAGTACAGGAAATGACCAGAGACTGCGGACACAGTACAGGGGATAACCAGAGACTGCAGACACAGTACAGGAGATGACCAGAGACTGCAGACACAGTACAGGAGATGACCAGAGACTGCAGACACAGTACAAGATACTGCGGAAATACTACAGATGACCAGAGACTGTGGACCTTTGGGAAGGGGGTGAGCGGGTACCCAAATTTGACAGGTACCCGCTCCCACTTCTATGGAGTTGTCCCCCCTCCCTGTCTTCTGGGACACGTGACAGGTCCCAGAAGACTGAAGAACCATTCACAAAGCGCAGCGCAGTGGCTGTAAATCTGCAAGCAGTCACAGCTGGGTGCTCACAGTAAAGATGCCGGCGCCAGCGAGAGAAGACTGTGAGGACAGCGCTGGACCGAGGAACAGGTAAGGTTCTGTTGCAGAGAAAAGCCAAGTGGCCTGGTATTCTGACATGGTGGCATCGGGAATACTGGGCCTGCCGCTCCATAAGACGCACAGACATTTTCCCCCATTTTTGGGGGGGAAAAAGTGCATCTTATGGCGCAAACAATACGGTATATAACTCTATATATTTTGTTCTGTTTACATGATGTGATGGAAATCCCCCATTTTTTATGAAAAGCCCGTGCATTCCTACACCTATGTACTGTATAATATTGAAGCATCCTGTACTGATCAAGTTGGTCCTTGACACTTGAAATATTTCCTCCCACACTTCAAAATGCATGCTGGTAGGTTAATTGAATCTTGTCTAAATTACTGGTACTATGTGTATGCATTTGCGTATACATGTGAGATAGGGACATTAGACTGTAATTAGAGATGAGCGAATCGAACTTGGCGAAGTGGAATTCGTTTCGAATATTAGGAAAAATTTGATTCGCATCGAATCCGAATTTTAGCAAACTTCGGATGCACGAATCGAATTTTTCCCCCGATCAGCCGGCAAAAGTGTCACTGCAGAGAGCTCCGCTATTTCTGACAGTTCTCTGACAGTTCTGACAGTTCATTTACAGAGGTTGAAACATTGTATCTATTTGTTTCCATTTAGGATACAGATGTTTTTATTCGGAAATAAATAGATACAATGTTTCAACCGCTGTAAATGTGAAGGAACTGTCAGAGAACTGTCAGAAATAGCGGAGCTCTCTGCAGATACACTTTTTGCTGTACTGGAATTCTTCTTCTTTTCATTCTTCTTCTTCTTTTCATTCTTCTTTTTCATTCTTCTTCTTCTTCTTTTCATTCTTCTTCTTCTTTTCATTCTTCTTTTCATTCTTCTTCTTCTTCTTTTCATTCTTCTTCTTCTTCTTTTCATTCTTCTTCTTCTTCTTTTCATTCTTCTTTTCATTCTTCTTCTTCTTCTTTTCATTCTTCTTCTTCTTCTTTTCATTCTTCTTTTCATTCTTCTTCTTCTTTTCATTCTTCTTTTCATTCTTCTTCTTCTTCTTTTCATTCTTCTTTTCATTCTTCTTCTTCTTCTTTTCATTCTTCTTTTCATTCTTCTTCTTCTTTTCATTCTTCTTCTTCTTCTTTTCATTCTTCTTTTCATCCTTCTTCTTCTTCTTTTCATTCTTCTTCTTCTTTCTTTTCATTCTTCTCATTCTTCTTTTCATTCTTCTTTTCATTCTTCTTCTCATTCTTCTTTTCATTCTTCTTCTTCTTCTTTTCATTCTTCTTTCTTCTTTTCATTCTTCTTTTCATTCTTCTTCTTCTTCTTTTCATTCTTCTTCTTTTCATTCTTCTTCTTTTCATTCTTCTTTTCATTCTTCTTCTTCTTCTTTTCATTCTTCTTCTTCTTCTTCTTTTCATTCTTCTTTTCATTCTTCTTCTTTTCATTCTTCTTCTTCTTTTTTCATTCTTCTTTTCATTCTTCTTCTTCTTCTTCTTCTTCATTCTTCTTCTTTTCATTCTTCTTCTTCTTCTTTTCATTCTTCTTTTCAGTCTTCTCATTCTTCTTTTCATTCTTCTTTTCATTCTTCTTCTCATTCTTCTTTTCATTCTTCTTCTTCTTCTTTACATTCTTCTTCTTCTTCTTTTCATTCTTCTTCTTCTTTTCATTCTTCTTCTTTTCATTCTTCTTCTTCTTCTTCTTCTTTCTTCTTCTTCTTTTCATTCTCATTCTTCTTCTTCTTCATTTTCATTCTTCTTCTTCTTTTCATTCTTCTTCTTCTTCTTTTTTCATTCTTCTTTTCATTCTTCTTCTTTTCATTCCTCTTCTTCTTCTTTTCATTCTTCTTTTCATTCTTCTCATTCTTCTTTTCATTCTTCTTTTCATTCTTCTTCTCATTCTTCTTTTCATTCTTCTTCTTCTTCTTTTCATTCTTCTTTTCATTCTTCTCATTCTTCTTTTCATTCTTCTTTTCATTCTTCTTTTCATTCTTCTTCTCATTCTTCTTTTCATTCTTCTTCTTCTTCTTTTCATTCTTCTTCTTCTTCTTCTTTTCATTCTTCTTTTCATTTTCTTCTTCTTCTTTTCATTCTTCTTCTTTTTCATTCTTCTTTTCATTCTTCTTCTTCTTCTTCTTCTTCGTCGTGCCCCGTGACTGCCCAAATGAGTGAAGTGTGCTGTGATTCTAAGATCGACGGCACTCATCTGCATGTCATACTGACTGACAGTATTATTTCTCTTCCCCAGCAGACTCCAAGGGCATTTAAATTAAAGGTACAGTGTTCTGCACTAATATAAAGGCTCTCTGAAGCCTAGAAACCCTTTTAATAAGTTAAATTTGCGGCGAATAAATTTGCATCGAATCAAATTTCTCCCGCAAATTCGGCGAATCAGCCGAATCGAATTTTTGAATAATTCGCTCATCTCTAACTGTAATCTCCTTGAGGGCAAGGACTGATGTAAATGTACAGTATACAAAGCACTGCATACTGTACATTTACAGCACTTTATAAATGCCTATAATAAATAAATTGCTTCTTCCTCTAGCACTACTTCCCCCACCATGTTTACCATCACCCAAATCCATTTTGATATTATTCTTTTAAATAAAATCTTCAACTGTCTCCCTAGATTCATCTTTCCATGGTATAGCTGCCTTTTTAGATGGACCCCCTAAGTTAATGTCTAGGATGCTTAGCTAAATGTGACAATCTAGGTTTAAAACTGCAAAGTTTATCTAAAAAGCCTAGCCATGGAACTTTCCACACCTCTGAAATAGGCATATACATTTTCACTTAAGACCCCTGAATAACCACATTAGGCTTATGTGATGATGCAGGGGAATATTCAGACAAAACATCTTGAATCATTTATCAGATGAAAAGCAGCATGGTATACATGTCTCATCTCTATTTTATTACTGTATCCACAGCTATAAATCTTCATGAGTAAAATCAAAAGGCCTTTTATAAGTCATTGCAGAGTTTACCTCCACAAAAATGACATTTTTCTTAGCCTGGGTAACCGTTTTTCAGGGAATGAGTTAAGTAAATATAGAACACCTGCTTTAAAAAATCATTCTTTATTTTGGATGATATGTGCACGGTGTTGGTTAAGACATGGGCCCCTAAATGTCTTTCCTTGATGACAGCGGTCATATATGAGGCATCCTATATTGAATGTTACTTGCAGTTGTAGAATTCTTAAAATGCCTTAAAACCCTAACTCCCACTGTGTTTTTGTTAACTAGAAGAAAACCCCTGCCCTTATATACTTTTCTGGTAGCCTTCTCTGCCAGTGATGCTAGGTTCTTCTCCAAGGTTTAAAAATCTGTAGAAATATGCAAAATTATTTTAAGAAAAATGAATACTGAATGTTTTAAGGAGCCACATTAAAGGGACTATTCCGCCTTGTTCATGCAGGGAAAGTGACAGCATCTCTGCAAAGGGGGCCCTGCAACCTCATTACCCTCACCTTGCCTTCATTTCCTTGTGCTTCTTTCTCTATCACACGTGGTGCTGAAAACCACGGTGTCAGTGCCCCTTCATGGACAAAGTGGCAATGTCTCTTTAAAGTATACTTGTCATTAATCTGTGCAATTCAAAATATGAATAAAAGATGTGAGCACTGGATACTTTTAGTGAAATCCACATGTTGAAATGATCAGATATTTAGGAAGCTCTAGTTATAAATTACACTTAACATAGAAAAATGTTTTACTTGTCCTCACTCTCATCTTGGTCACCCATTCCTATTGATCTTTTAATGTGATTGGTGTCTTCAATTGCCAAAAGGGATGCTTTGGTACTAGAAAGTGACAAAGCCAAATCTGGCTTTTAAAAGAAGAATGGAAATTGTCCAATATTCACAGCCATATTCCTGGAATTAAACGTCTAAGTTTACATAACACATGTATCAGTATTTGTTGATGGTAGCCTTTACTTTTTTCTTTTTGCTTCGTATGCTTATATGTTCAAACTGCAAACTACAGTATCTCTTTTTTTTTCGATATGCATAGGATTGTGATCAGCCTTGAGTGGTGCTGTAGCTAAGAATACAGTTGCCTAGCCCGCTCACTTTCCTGATCAAAATGTAAAATATAATTACAAACATTAATAATTATCAGTTTTCACTGCCATGGCTGCCATGGCAATGTTTATACCCTGCAGCATTCCTAGTGGAACTCCAAAAAAGTCAAGCATTTAGACTCTGGGTGGCTTATCCTGTACTTTAGCCCTGCAGTCATTTTGCCAGGATGCTGATTAAATTGACTGACATACTAATAGCCACAAGGAATACAGTTGCAAGAAAAAATATGTGAACCCCTTGGGATTACGTGGAGTTTTGCATGAATTGGGCATAAAATGTGCTCTGAACGTCATCTAAGTCACAACAATAGAAGACCACAGTCTGCTGAACATAATACTACACAAACATTAGATGTTGCCATGGTTTAATTGCACATAACATGTAAATATTCACAGTGCAGGGAGGAAAAAGTATGTGAACCTTTGGACTTAATAACTGGTTGACCCTCCTTTGGCAGCAATAACCTCAACCAAACGTTTCCTGTAGTTGCAGATCAGACCTGCACAACGATCTGGAGTAATTTTGGACCACTCCTCTTCATAAAACTGTTTCAGTGTCGCAATATTCTTGGGATGTCTGGTGTGAATCGCTCTCTTAAGGTCATGCCACAGCATTTCAATCGGGTTGAGGTCAGGACTCTGACTGAGCCACTCCAGAAGGCGTATTCTGTGCTGTTGCAGCCATTGTTTTGTTGAATTACTTGTATGCTTTGGGTCATTGTTCTGTTGCATCACCCATCCTCTGCGGAGCTTCAGTTGGCGGACAGATGGTCGTACATTTTCCTGCAAAATGTCTTGATAAACTCTGGAATTCATTTTCCCATCAATGACAACAATCCGTCCAGGCCCTGAGGCAGCAAAGCAGCCCCAAACCATGATGCTCCCTCCGCCATGTTTTA